TGCGGTTGTCAGTTGACAACCACCCTTTAATTTACACTGCAGTTGCGTGATGTCCACCACTTTCTGTACATAATCTAAGAGTACTAACAGCCACTGACTTCCAACTACCAAGGGAAAGCAAGCCCAAGCGCAGGAGAACCGTGCGCGCGCGCGGGTACGTGACATGTAATATCGTAGTAGAGCTGGCAGGCAAGGCATGATCAGGGGTTCAGGCCCTGCCTGTAAACGCTCTGATTGGCTCAAACCCTGGCAACAATCACGTGACATGTCTGAAAGTACAAGTAGTTGCGATTTATGCTGAAGTTCTAACTAACGGAACACGTGCAGCGCTACACCATGAACCGTGTGGAAACAAAAATAAGTAGAGGAGACACGGGATAACAGACATGAACTCAGGGTCAAACTGATAACTGTGAAACGTGAATGCATGCAGTATATGGAGACAAAACAAAGTCACAGAATTCAGTACATAACAAGTACTACACACTAACCTCGTAAATGAGAATGTCACGACACCATTTGAATTAGCTCTTACACCCCACTTATGTTTCAGTCAGTAAGAGTACACATGCGTACTTACGTTGACTCTATTTTATCTGACTTGTCCAACACCATCGTTGTGAGCCTTCGGCACTTGGGAATACACAGGACGGATAAGATAGCAGCAAGAGCATCTCCCCGCTCTGTGAACACAGCTCAGACGCCATGCTTCATGATTGTGTGCCCATGGAATACAAGGACACAATAGACTTGGTGCAGCTAACGAAATGGATGAACGGTCGACGGCCTAAGTGTTCTCCTTCCAAGTTCCTCGATCAACACTGACAGTCACCACATACCATGCTTGATGTTTCAAGCACCATCGGCGCAGGCCACGTTTTTCGGCACCGACGATTTGTTCGTCCACCAAAAGTCGAAACAAATGTTTCTCACTTGAACACTCCATAGAGCTGCCGCTGTTGTGCCAAGGCCCATTGGCGCATGGTGTGTATACTCCAAATCTACATGTATGATGATGGGTCACTGCTGACGTTTCTGCTCTTGGACAGTGCAACGACGCATGAAGATATGTTGTGGCTCCACAATCGCTGAGAACGCTAGTGTGCGTCCATGGAATACTAAAACACAATAGGCGCGGCGCAGCTAACGCCCACTTGGATGAATCGGAGTGGTGGCGAGTGCATTCTCCTTCCTCGGTGAACACTGCTGGTCACCCTGTTTGATGATCCACCAAACACCATCGGTGCAGGCCGCGTTTTTTCGGAACCAGCCATTTATTCGTCCACCAACAATAGAAATTAATGTTTCTCACTTGAACACTCTGTAGAGCTGTCGCTGTCGTGACAAGGCCGTGTATACTCCAAGTCTACATGTAGGATGAAGAGTAACAGTTACTGCTGATAATGAAGTTTGCGCTCGTGGACAATACAACGCTGTGTGAAGTAAATTGTGGCTCCACAATCGCTCTGAATGCTAATGTGTGTCCATGGAATACTAAAACACAATAGGCGCGGTGCAGCTAACGCCCAACGTGGATGAAACGGACAACAGCAGCGACTAGAGCGTTCTCCTTCCTCGGTGAACACTGCTACAAGACATTATGCTTGATGATTCACCAAATACCATCGTTGGGGGCCAAGTTTTCCGGCGCCAGCGAGTTGTTCGTCCACCAACTATTAAACTTTGATGAGTCTTTCTTCAACACTTCGTAGAGCAGCCGCGCAAGGCCTTTCCTTCGCGTTAGGGTAGCGATCCTTCCTAGATGATATCGCTATTCATTGTTACTTTTTACTACAATGAGTAGTGTTTCTCCGAAAATAAAGTCAGCTGCCTGGGCATTACGCATTAGACTGATTAGTGCTGCCTAGGCTATAGCGCCTAGCGCCTGGACTTGGAAAAAATTTGATTTTGCAAGTCTTCAATCATGTTTGCATGTACGCGCTATCCAGCCATGTGGCGTGAACAGATAGCCTGACGTGAAAGGTAGCGCGGGCGCGCGCGAGTCGATCGTACGCGCTCGCGGACGTGTCTGACACGTGAAACGAAAATATTTTTTTGGCGGGTAGTCGGCAAAAATTAAGTGACGGTCCCTTTAGTCCTTCGCGACGTACAAAAGGCTTACCTCCTCCACAGAGAAGGTCGATCACTGCATAAATTGGTCATTTTCAATTGTCTTATTGTATTCACGATGTGAAAGAAGTGCTGTGTTCAATGCTGTTAGTGCCGTGAACTATTTGTCGCCCTTCTCATGCATTTCCCTAGGCTGACTGTGCCTAGGAAATGGTTTCCTCCAGGACAAGATGCTTGGAATTCGCCGTCTCTCCTGAGACATTTTCAGCAAACTTTCAAACCTACGACATTATTTCATTCGTCAATCTCCACCACCCGTCGTCTCACCTGGCTTCAGAAGATATTACGAGAGATAGGAGAGTCGCCAGGAAGCATCACATTCATCTTCAGGAAGTGGAAAGAGCAAACGGCATGGTCCTTGGTTGGGGGAAATGCTGAACGTCTGATTTGTCCCAACCAAGATTTCAGCATTTTGTTCGTCACTATTTTCGCTTGTCTGCTGGTGTCTCCGCGCTCCAGCTTTCTCCTGTCGGTGTCACGTCCCAGTACACAACCGAGAGGACTACTAACAAACAGTTCACTGCACTTACAGCATTGAACACAGCCTCTCTTTCACTTCGTGAATACGATAAACCAATTGAAAATGACCAAATTCTGCAGTGATCGACCTTCTCTGTGGTGGAGCTAAGCCTTTCGTACGTCATCACTGCGCTGGTCGCTATGGCAACGTGAGTATACAATTGGCGATTTGGCAAGTTTGGCTTATCGTATGGAAGCGAGAGATATGCCATTCGAACCGATATCAAATTGTCTTTCTTCTGGACTATACTCGAAAAATCGATGCACTTCCCCTTTAAGTATTAAATCATTAATCTCTAGGCCCTGCCCACCAAATTCTTTCCCACTCTTTCTCCTCTCTCACACTACTATCTCTTATTGGCCACTGGCTATCGTGAGAATAAAGATGTGAAACAACACCAACAACACCACCACCAACAACAACAACACCACCACCACCACTACCAACAACACCACCACCAACAACAACAACAACATCACCACCACCACCAACAACACCACCACCAACAACAACACCATACTAGTGCCACATCTATAGATGATCAATGTCGATGAGCAACCATCAACACTGTAACTGTCTTTAAAGGGGAAGTTAAGGCAAAAATTAAAATTTCACCAGTTGTAGTCTTCGGGGTGCTGAGTCGAATGGTCGTGGTCCGAGGAAGCTGAGACGCTCCCTTCCTACTTGAATCCCAATCGAACTCGCGCACTTCCACCGAAACTGGGTGACTGCGCCCTACTAGATGGGGATTTGTATGCAAAATGTCACTAAAAGCGCCATTTCGTTCTTATAAAAGCACGGATGACCGCGATTGGCCCATATGTTGTAGTTTTTGGGACGCTGAGTCGACTGGTTTTGGTCCGAAAAGGCTGCGATGCAGCGTTCCTCCTTTATTCCCAATCGAACATGGTTGAACAAGCGGTCACGTGCTGCTGCGTACGCCAGTCACCTGGTCACCGTGCCTGCAGGGTACAACTTACTAGCCTGTTTGACCTTTTTTGGGTGCAGTCCTGTCACTCGAGTTGAACCTTGGTGTGAAAGTTGTCGCCTGCTGGCGTGGTGACCAGGTGATTTGGGCACCCAGGAGCACGTGACCGCTTCTTCAACTATGTTCGATTGGGAATAAAGGAGGAACGCTGCATCGCAGCCTTTTCGGACCAAAACCAGTCGACTCAGCGTCCAAAAAACTACAACATATGGGCCAATCGTGGTCATCCGTGCTTTTATAAGAACGAAATGGCGCTTTTAGTGACATTTTGCATACAAATCCCCATCTAGTAGTAGGGCGCAGTCACCCAGTTTCGGTGGAAGTGCGCGAGGTCGATTGGGATTCAAGTAGGAAGGGAGCGTCTCAGCTTTCTCGGACCAAGACCAATCGACTCAGCACCCCGAAGACTACAACTGGTGAAATTTTAATTTTTGCCTTAGGGGCCGTCCGGGGTTACCGATTGTTTTTACAAAACGAAAAGTTTTAGTATTTTTCAGCCCCCACCCACCCACCCACCTTTTCTGCAGGTAAAACGAATTCCAATAAAATATTGATGTCAATTTTCGACATCCAGAAGTAACTGGGCATTCTCAATCAGCATTCAATAATTATTTTCAAAACGAAACACCATCAAACCCACCCACCCACAAACGAAAACATTTCGTTTTGAAAATATTATTGGTAACCTCGGACAGCCCCTTAACTTCCCCTTTAATATAAGAAGTTAAAACATTGGCTTGAATGCTAGCCTGTTTGAATGCAAGCCTGATTTCGAGGCTAGACCTATGGCACATGAACCTAGCTTTTTTCTTAAACAGTTGGTTACAGTGTAGATATGATTCCCATAGACAGTGTAGATATGATTCCCATAGACAGTGTAGATATGATTCCCATAGACAGTGTAGATATGATTCCCATAGACAGTGTAGATATGATTCCCATAGACAGTGTAGATATGATTCCCATAGACAGTGTAGATATGATTCCCATAGACAGTGTAGATATGATTCCCATAGACAGTGTAGATATGATTCCCATAGACAGTGTAGATATGATTCCCATAGACAGTGTAGATATGATTCCCATAGACAGTGTAGATATGATTCCCATAGACAGTGTAGATATGATTCCCATAGACCATGTAGACAGTGTAGATATGATATTCCCATAGAAGCCTTACTCTGACATTGGGTTGTATCAGAACAGGCCTAATCTGTGTACTTGACTATACAGTATGTCAGCAAAACAAATTAAATTAACCCAATATGAAAACTCACCGGTATCTGTTACATGTTTGGGCCATCTATTGCCGTCTAAGTGATTTTTGTGTTTGTATTTTTCTCAATGCTACCACTGTGACAGCCATCGGTTGTTCACTTTTTCGCAGCCACGGCCCTCCGTGAATATGTCGGCAGAGAATGGTAAGGCACAGTCAACTTGTGTGAGCGTGTGGTGGTGTGTCACGTTAGCTACATTGAGCTTGGTGTAGAGCTAAATATGCTGAACACACACACATACACACACACGCACACACACACACACACACACCATGTACCATGTATACGCCTGTCGCAAGAGAAGCTCGCAAATCTGCAAATGCACTGGATGTACACCCACAGATTTTCTCTTATAGCAACGAGAGCGGACAAGACCTGAATAACACACACACACACACACACACACACACACACACACACACACCTGGCCTGGTGTACAGCTGCCAAATGCTTGGCCACGCCGCCCCCGAGACAGGGGAGAGTAGAAGAGAGAGTTCGAGAGAAGTCAGCACTGCCACTAGGAAGCCGCTCCGCCACGACGCCGTCCACGATTGCTATTGTGTCGCCGAAAGCCAGGAGCAGATTTAAAACAGCGATCACAGGTAGCGCAGTGCTGGTTGCAACACGGATGGCTGGTGATTGGTATGCGCTGGGGTGTGGGCGGTGATGCGGGGCGGGTGTCGTGCACTTGTGCACAGCAAGTCCACCGGCACTTCGGAACCACCGAAGGCAGGCATGGCATTGACGTGCACCCGGCTGTTCCGCTACAGGCAGCTGGCGATCAGCAGAACATTTGTGGCGTCCGAGTCCAGATTTACTCTTGAATGTCCGTTTACATATCAAGCAAGAGAGCGGTACCGGGGCAGGACGCTGCACATGAGTGCGGTACGCATCTCTCCATTGCTGACGATCCTGGGCCAGAGTAAACCATTCATCAATTTGGCACAGTTTCATGTCTGACTGTATTCTGTCCTTCCTACGAAGACGAGGTCCTTGAGCTGGTCGGGGAGCGTCAAGCCATCCAAACAGCAACTGCTTAGGGAGCACACACACACAAACACACTTTCTCTCTTGCTCTCTCTCTCTCTCTTCTCTTTTTTGAAGTTTGATCTTCCCAGAACATGTACATGAAGTGATGGAATAGCTTTGACTAGGAGGTGGCTCTGGTTTCACCATAATGGTTGCTTTAATTGTCTGCTGCCCAGCGGGTATTTTAAAATTAGGATTGATACGTGAAACTCAGAGTTGCGACACAGCTTCCAATCTCTCTTGTGTACTAGTGTTGATCATGACACACTCTACTATACCTGGATACATGGTTGGAATTTCTAGTGTTTGTCACATTTGTTTGCTTTTCATTGTATGCATTTCTGCTAGTTCCGCTGTTTATAATATTATTGTGTCTGCTACTGGGTGTTGTTTGATGCTCGATGTAGGCACCAGATGGGCAAGGAAAGGCACCAGGGATATCTTACTGAGATTTTCAAGGTCCTGGCCCTCTACTACCAAGCTGATCGCTTTCTGCACATCCAGCTTTGCGTTGTGGTGAGCTATGACTAAGCGTTCTTGCTGGGAGTTTGGTAATTGTGTATGGTGGCGTAGTACACCCCTGCACATTTTTCAGGAATAATTTATTGGTACACGTAGATAACAACGCGATAAAGAACTTTGGAGTAGAATCCTTGTAGCACTTAGAGTAGCTTATCTCTGGCCAGGTTGCTACTCGTGCAGTTGACTTGCCCCGTCGTATTCTGGTTCCGTAGCCACTGTGTGTCGTCGGCGCAACTTGTCGGCATGCCAATGTGGATATTGGCAGCAAAGTTTAGTTATTTTGTATACTTTGTACATATGTGTGTGCTTGCTTAGGCTGCTAATATCCTGCTTCGTGTTGGTTCAAGTCAAGACGATGAAGTGGTCGCTATGTTTGATGCCTTGAAAATGCTTGAGGCCACCGGGTGGCCAGTAAGTACATGTACATACTGTTGTGCTATATGCATGATGTGAAGTTGTTTGTTAAGAATTATCACATCCATCTTCAGAATAGAAAGAGGAAAAATGGTCAGATGAAAGTGAGGAGTGCACAAGACAAAGGCACAAGTCCGTAGTCCTCTCCGTGAGCTTGACTGATTTTTGGCTGCAGGGTCCCATGATTGGCGATGGTCTGTGCATATTGTGTGGCATCCTCCCAGACCTTCGTAGCAATACCCAACAGGGAGACTGGACAGTTATTCTTTAGGACTGAGCGTGAATGCTGCTCGTGGATGGGGACACGTGTTTGCGGGGTTCCCCGCTCCTGGTCTGACACCACCCCTGAAGCACACAGGTAGCTGGAAAAGTACGTTGTGTGGAGCGCAGTGTGTTGTGCAGTATGATTGCAGTCAGGAACACCACTGGTCTCAACACCGTGTGTCCTCCGCCTCCTTGTGACATGCTGCCATCGTCGTACAAGTATGGTGTGTGTAGTGTGCTTTACAGTATGTACTACTAGTACATGTACTTGCCGGCATGGGCTGTACCTGCACGTCAGAGAAGTAAAACGAGTTGTGTGCAATCAATCACTCGGTGACATAGTGCAACTCCATCCGTGTGCATGCTGTTGCTTGTGTTTCTGTGTGCAGAATCCAGAAGCGTACAGGCATGCTGTTCTGTCCTTACTGACAATCATTCCAGAAGAGGTATGTCCCTGTGAATCACACATGCACAACCGTAACTAGTGCTTTAGTAATACTACTCAAGCCAGACCGGGAAATTTCTCAGTACCGGTATATTTCGGCATCACATCCGGTACTGAATCACAAACAAAGCAGTGTCATGGATTGCGAAACTCTATTATCATGCTGTAGAGATGATACTAGCTTGGATAGGTAGGTGGACGGACGATGATAGGTCTTTGGTGAGGCAGGTGGATGTTACGACAGTGTGTCTGAGGTGAGTAGCAACAGGTGTGCGAAAAGAGACCATTTGCACAAGCATAGTATAGCTTTATGGCCTTACACAGGAGATTTACGGTCTTATGTATTCCGTTGTCTCTCTGTCCGATGATGTCCCACACAACAACTTTTGACGAATGCCTTGTATGTTTTTTGACCTTCTGCACAGTTTTCCAGCATCGATATCTCAGGTACTCACCGCAACTCCTTGCGCTGCAGCCTTCAACAGGCAATCCCTGCAGGTACGTGATTTTATGCAGGTGATGAGTGCTGTAGTGCATGACATTGCATTCCAATCTCTACGTTTGGTTGCCAGACTTGGTTGCCCTCCCATTTGCATTTGCTACTGGAGTGGACAGTGACACTGCACACGTGTTAGTTGCCCCTGGACATGATGAGCATCTGATTCCGTTCTAGTATACTCAAGTGTGTATAGTACAGGTCGACCCTCGTTACTACGGCATAGGCTACAAGACAGACCTCATAATATTGTAGTAGACAACGGTCCTAATTCCCCTGACGAAATGCATTTAACAGTCGTACATGCAAGTCCGGATAAGAGATAATTCGTTTGTACTTCGAAGTAGACGAAATGCGTTATAGCGTCACTTTCAGCTGTCCCACAGGTTCAATTTCCTCTGTTATTTTCTCACTCCCGTGTACGCACGTGCACACGCACTCGCACACGAATGATTTCAAGACAAAGCAAACTGGCCATGGATACGAATTTGCTCGGATGGCTCGATGATCGATGGTTCATGTTGTCTTATAGAGGGGGTTTGATGGAAAAATTAAAATTGTCTTAGAAGGGACCGACTGAAGAGAAAGGCAATGAAAGGCACTTGTGGACTTTTTCAAAATGTTTCTTGTGAGGAGCCTGAATCTTCTTCTGTTTTTCCATCTGATTGCATGTGCGTCTCCGAGGAAAACTATTTACGATCTTTTTTGTTTTGTTTTGTTTTTGTTGTTGCTTTTTGTCTTTCTTTCTTTCCTGTTTAGTCTTGGAACTTCTTGGAACTAGTCTCCAGGCGTCCTTTTCACAGCCTGCTTCACAGGTATGTACATGTACAGGTGTCTCTTCCTTTGCCTAGATACAGTATGAAATGCTGTTTCGTACTGTAATATTGTAAATTGTTGTGAGTATCTCTTTTGCCTGTGCCAAGCGATGCCTTTTGTCTGCGGCTACATGTACGTTTTATTCTCCGTGTGATATGCTCTCTTCCAGACCATGCAAGTCCTGAGGTGCTTCAACAGTTGGGCGAAGTTTGGAATACCGTTGAATGACATGGAGCCGTTGCTCCCCACCTTCTTCCAGCTGACTGAAAGGGTGGAGTTGTTTGAGGACTGTGTTGACCTGCTCTGTGAGACCATTGTCAATGGTGACAGCCATCGGTACGTTCCAGTGTGAAGTGCGTGTGCGAGTGTGCATGTGTTTATGCACTGGAATGACCATTAAATGTTGTGTATGGGTATGAGTGTGGTGTTGGTGCTGCTGAATGACATCGTGCCGCCTTCTTCACCGTGTATACCTAGAATGACATCTCGGGAGTTGATACCAGAATCGGCTTGACATTCAGCCTCACCAAGCTTCCACATTTTAGCCCATGGGGCAATGGTCGACAAGCTGCCAGACTCAGAATTTCAACTCATGCATTTAAGCACTTTGTATTGATGTACTTGTGTATTCACAGTCTGCCTCTTATCTGCGTTTGTGGCTTTCGATAGGTTTCCCAACACTGTCCGCTGCTTCATGTCCTTGACTGTTGGCATCCATGCACACTTTGAGTCTGCCGTTGCAGAAGGTCGAATGGTACGTACAGTAGTATACTGGCCAGTGCGAATTCTGAGAAATTTGTTGATGATTCCTGCCACGGTCAATGCAGCACAATTGCTTGCTGAAGCCTACAGTTCACACCCATGTACAGTAAAACCTGTATTTGCCGGACCCTGTGCCAAGCGGAATCCTGTATTGATCGGACAGGTTTCCATGCACCAAAGTGCTGTGGATCGAACGTGCATCCCCGGATCAAGCGGAATCCTGTCATACCGTATTATCTCTAATATAAGCACAGTCTCCAATAATAGCACGTCTCCAATAATAGAACACCTTGGGGCGGCATTAAAAAAATTAAGTGCTCAGTCTCCATTATAAGCACACTGTGTAAATTCATTATCTGTACCGGCGAAAAACCCCTGAAATGTGTGTGTCTGACATGAATTTGGCATAGCAACATGCCTCTGAAATGAGGTTGAAATAATAATGGAACAGTCTCCAATAAAGGAACGTCTCCATTAATAGCACGGGGCGGAGGTACATAATTGAAAAAATAAAGGACCGTGCTTATATTAGAGATAATACGGTATCAGCCTGACAGGACAGTTGCCGCTGCACCAAGGGCGTCCGGTTAGGGCAGGTTTTACTGCACGTCTGCAGGTGCTCATTTCTGCTGCCAGTGTTGAGTAGTGCAACGTCCAGCAAACAGTGTTTACCCCACTGTGATGAGTGTTCAGTCGTGCATGCCAGCATTAGGCACCGTCAGCGGGCAGCTCTTCTACATTGTAATGGCACATGATTGTATGCATTGAGCACTCCAGCACGGCTTGAACTACTACTACTACTCAAGTAATCGTGTTTGTTACTACTTCACTACTGTGGTGGCATGAGTGACTACTATGCACTGCCTTCTTATCCATGATGGACATTGGTTGGCACACTCCCAGTCACATCCCGCCATGTGTCTCAGCCTGCCACAAGCTGAATCCTCTGGGTACAAGTACACAAAGACACATTCGCATGAGTACAGCACTGAAAGCTGATGGCGGACTGGAAAGCAGCGGGGAAGTGCTGTAGTGTAGGAAGCTGAGCCTTTCCTAAGTGGTACTGGTGGAGAGTGGACTTCTCTGCAAGCAATACTGCTGTGTAGAGATGATTGTGTATTGTGGCGTGTATGTTGTGTAGAGATGTGTGTGTGTGTGTTGTGTGTGACGTGTGCGATCTGTAGGGATGGTTGTGTTTTGTGGCATGCTCCTTACAGAACCTCCTTCTTTCTTTCTTTTGCACACTTTTCTTGTCTTCACAAAGGATTTTTGCCAGGAGATGTCGCGCATCATAGTTGCTGTTGGCGAGAACCACTCCAAACTGTTTATTGAGTGGCGAAACCAAGAAGACATGAATGTTGCTCTGCAGTTTATTAAATTTGCACTGGTAAGTGTTGCACCACAATTTTATACCGTTAACTGTGAGCATCCAATGACGCAAACCTCTCCACGCAAGAAGACAATAAGACTTAGTGCTTATTGTACACTGTCTATGATTAAACGTTTTCGTTCCCTTTTTTCTTGGTTATAAAATGTAAAGAGAGTGAAAATTACTGCAATAGACTGCAAATGGAAGTATGCGGGTAGGGAGTTTTAATGCGGTCTTGCATGTAGTGGTTTGCATCATTCGATGCCGTATGATGGCGGTGCTTTTTCTCAGTTCTGACAAGGGGAATAGAAGTTGGCACCTTATGACTGGGATGCTCCGCACGCACTTGCTCAACCACAAAGTTGGTAGTCAGCTCCTTTGTGGGACGAAGTGTGGCCTTCTAGCTCTGAAATTAAGTGGTCACAGCACAGACAAGTGAGGTTGGGAGGACAAATGTTGTAGTCGTACAACTACACTTGTGACGTAGGCCTCTCACGAGAGGCAAGTACAAGCATGTGCTTGCTCAGCCAAGCGAGGGTCAGAGTGCAGTGCGAACCACAAACGTACACACGCCGGTCAACGGAATTAGTTCAGCTTCTGACGTGCTAGTGACTCAGTATTGAGTCATTCATACAATCATAAGGAAGTTGTCGCAGTCATGAAGCGGTGAGTCAGTCTGGGCAGTGGGCATGACACCTGAAAGCCGCTCATCAATTGACATTAGCTTGTGAGATGAGGAATGTGGAAAGATCTGTTTGATTTCGCATGAGAATGTATTCATCACCAGGCACATGTAAGCCTTTAATTCTCGTCTTCTTTTCATTTCGATCTCTTTGTGCAGCAATGTTCAACTCTTCCAGGACGCTACCCGTTTGATGAACAGTGCACTGATGGAATGCTCTACTTCTGGTGCCGATTCCAGGTATACTTTCATCCCAGTACATGTATCTCAATCTTTTCAAGACTAATATTGTATCCACACTCCACATTGCCATTAACATATCCATGGTGACAATTCTTCAGTAACATGTGGCAACTCAGGGAATAGTATTGAGTCTCTTGACCTACTTTTGCAGTCAGGCTATCCAAGGGCTTTTTTCCTATGCTGCACCATACGTTATATTGAATATATTCCTTGTTGCAGAGATCAAAAGCAAAGCGAATTATTGCATTTGAGTTACTCCTATAAAAGTAAATCAATGAAGAAATTCATGCTTTGGAGAGTATTAGCAAACAGATTTCGCACTTGCATGGAAGGTTTGTACATGTATTCCAGTTTGCGAACTGAACAATGTACACGAGCTCAAGTGTGAAATCCGTGATGCTCAACCTCCGTATTATTTATGAATTCTCCTTTGCAGGAAGACATTGAAAGAATAGACAAATCTGATCTCAAGGCGCTTCTCTGGACATCAACGTTTAGTCCCCTATTGCAAGTAAGCACTGACTCTTGCTTCTGATATCTAGACAATGCCAACGTTTGTCTGTGAAATTTCACATTTCGAATCCCCCCCCCCCTTGGATTCATGCACCAGCATATTATAGCGCATTCAGCAAGAAGAAAATCTGAACCAAAAATTACCTCTGAACTTAGGCGTCCCACCGAAGTATACGAGTGCAGGCGACCTCTGCCTGCAACCCATGGATACAATTCAACTACCAGTAAGAGTTCGATGGCGTATTGCTAACTACAAAGCTCTCAACTTGACCTTCCAATCACAACGTCGATCTCGGCAATCTCTCCTTGAAACGCATCAGGACAGCTCACTGCATTGTTTCCGGCGTGTGTGCGTGTGTGTGCGTGCGTGTGTGTGTGTGTGTGTGTGTGTGTGTGTGTGTAATACGTGGGATCATTTTCAAGTCCACCCAGAGTTTTGGGGATTTCAGGGGGTGTCGGCCGTTGGGCGGTTCAATAGCCAGTTGAGTCATCTTTCCAAGATTCCTTTTGAGTCTCTCTCCCCTCTCCCGGGGAGACCCACGTGACCAGTTTGGCAGTGAGCAACAAGTACAACAAGTGTGTGTGTGTGTGTGTGTGTGTGTGTGTGTGTGTGTGTGTGTGTGTGTGTGTGTGTGTGTGTGTGTGTGTGTGTGTGTGTGTGTGTGTGTGTGTGTGTGTGTGTTCGAATCCCACTGCTGCCGCAATTGTGAAGTGTCGCGCTTGAAACAATGTGGATGATTCTGGACTGGGTGTGGCTCGATCCCATAGTACCCAGATGAGAAAGGCCAACCAGCTAGTTGTGTGTATCTGTGCATTGGTAACCACGGCAATTGCTTGCGTCTCATTGCTTGTGCTGTTTGCACTTGTGTCAACCGCAGGCTCTCATTTCGAAAGTGGAGATTCCTTCTGGCCAAGCGCAAGAAGAAATGTGTGGCAGTAAGTGGCCAGAGCACCAGTAGGTATTGAAACATCTACAGTCCAATGTCACTTGTGCACACACACAGTGAGCATGCCTGGATAAGCCAATTTGTCTGTATTGTGTGTGTGCGCGCGCGCGTGCGTGCGTGTGGGATGGTTGAGGTAGCCTAATGTAGGCTAGGATGCTAGGAGAGTGAGCAGATAACCCCCGGAGTGTGCAGCTCAGATTCATACCCACTGTTCAATGTACGTATACAGTCCTGTATGCTGAAATTCATGCCTGATCTACTTCATTCACTCCTATGCTCAGTGTAGACGATTGTTTGCCAAGGTTGTTGTTTGTTGGCCATCTCGGTGTGCCTCTAAATCATAGGCTCTTCCACTGTGACTGTTCAGGTGATGAGGAGATGTTCTATTCTTTCCGACAGGAAGCAGCTGACACTGCGGTATGTTGTTGTGTTGGTGGTGAACTGCTCCGTGTCCACTGACACTGTGTCAGTACAGACAGTGACTTGTTTGACTGCCAACTTTTTACCCACTTGTCCACTGACAGCTTGGATAGTGTAGTTGCTCATACTTGGGGTTTTCTTCATATTCCTGTTGCACTGCTGTGCCTTTGTCGGTGGCTGATGTGCAGTTTTGTCTCTGTGTTGTTGATCTTTTCTCAACTGCGCTGGACTGTGTCACTCCGGGCTTGTGTGCTAACATGTTCTTTCCATGTATCAGTAGTTGTGTGTTCGTGTGCATTGGCGTGTGTGTGTGTGTGTTGTGTGTGTGTGTGTGCGTGCGTGAGCGTGTGCGTGTGTGTCTGTGCGCTTGTTTGTTTGTTTGCTTGCTTGCTTGCTTCAGTCAATGATATCACGAGTATACTTTGATGAGTGCATGACGCTCGTCCACGATACACTAGCTCAGCATCTAGCCACTGGAGCACAGTGTTCCTGGCAGGTTAGTGTTGCATACACTGCTGCAAACACGGGCAGTACAGGGTTTCTTGTATGTAGTGGCAAAAGAACGCCACTCAACTAGCACAGGCACCTTCAACCCCGCCACCTTGAGACCTTGAGGCCTCGACCTTTCGTGTAGAAGTAGTAGTGTCACACAAACCAGTATGCATACTATCAAGAGTACATAACCCCAAGAGTGTGCAACTGCCTGCACAACCTCTATGCTGTGCTGCGACGGCAGAACTTCACATCACGTGACATGGTTCAAAAGGTTATGCTGGCAAACAGTGCAAAGTGACCACAAGAGAGTTGTACCCAAAGCTGGGCTGCGTACAACCCAGTATCTATCATGCACAGAGTGCACGGGTTCATCACGTGATGTGAAGTTCTGCCGTCGCAGACCCCATAGCTGGAGTTGCACACTCTTGGGATTATGTACTCTTGATACTATGCAACCTTGGTGCCACTGCCAGCCAGGATTGACTGAGAAGACTTCATTTCATCGGCGCTCTGCCGTTACCGATGGCGTACTATCGTGCAATGAATGCCGTAATCAATCATCTGTATCCTGGGATTCCTGGGTTGGAACACATATTCAGCACTGCCACGACAATGTTAAAGTATGCCTGGGATCACAACTCTGCACATTCGTGTATGTTCACATGCATGCATGCGTGTGAACACATGCACCCGTGCACGCACGTACACGGGGGGGGGGGGGGGGGGGGGGGATGAGTCGTTCACGGCCTGTTGTTACACAGGTGATCCTAAGCCAGAAGGACTGACCCGTCTTTTAAGATGACGGGTCAGGGTATAATTATACTGTACATTGTATATTACCGTAAAAGCCTGTGTATAGGCCCCGGGCGTATAGAATAACAGCCTCGATTTCCTGGGCGTATACAAGGGCACGGGCGTTATTTTGGAACCGGGCGTATACTTGGAATAGGGATAGCAGTAAGTATTGGGTATCAGTACCTGTACATGTACTGGTGTTGCCGGCATACCTGGGCGTATACATGGGCATGGGTGCTATTTTGCAACAAAAGTGTTGACTTCCCCTGACTGGGCCTGTACACGGAGGGTGGGTGTAATTTCGAGTGGGCGTATACAGGGGCTTTTACGGTACTAAGGTTAAAACTTGGCTATAACCCTGGTTGTATAATTATATCCTACCTTGATTATACTACTGCTGGCCAGGTGGAAGTCACCAACCAGAAGATTAAGAATGTTATGTTGGTTTGTCCTCTTGTGCACTGGTAGGCAGTCGAGGCAATTTTCTATGTGCTGAGGACGTTCAACGACACAGCCGTCCACCTTGAGGATGCCATGTGCAGTGAGTCGCAACAGTCTTCGCCCGGCCTCCACCAGCTTTCCAACATATTCCGGCAATCGCTGGGCCAACTGCCGACCGAGCCCAGGCTTCAACGCACACTGTATCGTCTCTTCTGTAAGTCACACCCCAACCTGCAGCTCTAGTGTTGGACGTCACAGTGAGTTGCTGCATTACTGGTACTGTGTCGCTTTTGTTTACCGTACTGGCAATATATGTTGCCGCGTAACGCGTAACGCAGGGGGGTGCGGCGTAACGCGCGACCAGGCTATTGCGACAAATTTTCGTTGAGTTCGTAACGCGCGTCCGGCGGGGTGCGGCGATCTTTTCATTGCAAAAAAGGCTGAAAACTGTGAAAGCACGTGTACCGCGTGGTGAAAAGTTCAAAACTGGACGCAGCAGGAAGTCCTGCAATAGCAAAAAAAGGACTGCGGCAATATAGAAACCTGTGTAACAGCTCCTGTGCGACTTTGCATGTAACGCCCTGCGTGCGGCAAACATGTGCCAATGTAACGCTTCATGGCCTCACTGCGGCAACATATATTGCCAGTACGGTATTTCGCGGGTTTGGGCACGACTGTGTGTATATGTGCAGGGTTCTAGCCAAAGGGGATGGGGGGCGTGAGCCCCCTACTCTGTTTGCCCCCCCCCCCCTCCTGTGAAAAAGTGCCCCCTCCCCACACACTCATTTTCCGATGTTTGTGTTTTTCATGCCATTCAACGAAAATGCAGTCGATAGTCAGTACAAAAGGGTTCATAAAGGCACATTTGTCTGGGGTGAAGTCAGGTGTTCGCCCCATACGTTGCATTTCGCATTGCAAGACAGTTATTTTGAAAATGGAAAAATGGGTTACGGGGCAGCTGTCCCCCCCCCCCCCCCCTACTATTTTTGACCTAGATAGAGCCCTGGTTTGTGCATATGTGTGGTGTACAACAAATGCGTAGGTTCATATTCAGAATGGCTGCTACACCATGATGAACTGATCGGACCAGTTTTGTCTCTGCTCGTGGCCGGCCTGCAAGAGGGCAAACTGGCTCGCACAACATACACTGCGGTCGATGCTATCTTTGAGATCTGCTCCGAGGGCCAGAGGGAGGTGGTGCCGTATTTAGATCAGCTGATTGCAGTGTGTGAGGTGAGTCTGTCATGAGTCATGAGGGCAAGAACTTGGGAAGGCCTGCACTGTACTATGTTGAGTTTTCCACAACCGATTGGGTGTATGCATGTTGGCAAGGTCCACGTCACCATCACCAGACAACCTTATGACAAGCACTGGAGAGTGTAGGCAAGAGTCTACAGGCAGCAGTGCACATAGCGCCGAATACTGCTTCCATCATACAACGTGGTAGTGTACCCCCACAGCAAGACAAGATTTCTTCAACAGCAGATAGCTACTTGTTTGCAGTGGGCTGTGTGAAAACGTGAAAGGCGTGCCAATCTTGTTGACGCAATTGCAGCAGCTGTGGCGAAAATGCCTTTCCCGGGAGTTCAGTTGTGCCACCCTGTATAGGGATTAGGGATGGATTGATCGTATGAAGACTTTGAAGAGTACATGTACGTGCTGGTTACAATGTATATAGTACTCGTGAGTCGTGATCATATCTTGCTGTTTTGCTTACAAGCTCGCATGGCAATGGGCACAAATCCCATGGCCGCCAATCGTAGTCTGTTGGAGAGGCTGCGGTCGTGTGGCTTGCTCTGATAACGTTACTGTGTGCTGGTCTGTGTGTTATGGTGGTGGTGGTGCTGCTGCTGCAGGGTGCGACCCTTCGCAAGCTGCCAAAGTGCCGCGCACGGCTGTTTGAGGCGGTCTGCTCTGTGATATCGTCACTGCCAGCGCAGCATTGCTTGCTGTACGCTCAACAGTTTAGTGCGCCACACCTGGCTCGACTAGAGCAGCTAGCCACTGCAGGGGTGAGTGACATTTTTACGTTAAACTAACGGGATTTTGACTGCTGCATAGCCGTGTTCACTAATGCTGGTGCTGGCTGCAGATGTGCAGCTTCTTGTGATGAGTTTCCACTCGGTACCCGTCCTTTCCTGCAAATGTGTTGTGTTGCAGACCGCTAGTTCTTGTTGACGGGTGAAACTTTGACGTGATACTTAGTGGGCTGAAAGAGCACGAGATGCACATGTACATGACATTGTGGTTCCTATTCTCAAAAATGTATTCATCATGTATGTGACGGGGGTACACCCAGAATGCACAAAGGAGGTTTCCAGAGTTTGTCGCAACTCCGAGTTGTCGCCTGATGATTGCATTGAGCAAGAAACTCGGAGTTGCGACAAACTCTAGAAACCTCCTTTGTGCATTTTGATGGGGGCATATGTATGTGTTAGTGTGGCAGCATTGGGTGATATCCTAGCACATATTTCATGACCAGGACTAGAAAGCATAGTCCATGGTGGTAAGTAACCAGTAGATACTGGTATCTATAGTGTGAAGTTATGAACCACTGTTTTTTTTTTCATCCATGCGGTGTTGTCTTGTGCTTTTCCTGTGCTTCAGGTCTCTCGAGAAGTAGAGGAACAACTGACTTCTGAGCTTCAGCTGCTCAAATCTATATTCCAGCGTATTGATCCTGAACACGAAGATTTCGGTGAAATGTCTGCCCAGGAAAAGGCTGCCGTTCTCGAAACTCATCCGGTGAGGGGAAAGTAGAGCGACACCACCCAACTCTATGTTCTATGACGTGTTTTACGGCGTGTTCTATGGCGTGTACATGCACTGTGTTTCTCCGAAACATGAAGAAACCATCCCTGTTGTGTTGATCGTCAAAACGTTATGGGCTCCAGGGCTGCTCAATGTATTCCTATGGTGCGAGTCCGGTGCGGCGGACACTGGGATGAGAACTGGTGCAGGGTGAAATTTTGACTCGTTCGCGATTGGATTTCATTGAGCAACACTGTACAATAGTGTACATGCTTGCTTTCCATATAGGTATATCTCGCAGTACTGTCCGCAGATTGAGTATTTCGCTCCTGCCCCTGTAGCAGTTGAGCACTCTCGTGTGGGGTAGTGCCTTTGCTGTTTGCGCTATGCAGACCTCGCTGACTTGTCAGGCCGAGCACTCTGGCAAGGTACGTCCGGGCCTGGTTTAAATCTGGCTTTGGAAAATTTATTTTTCACTGCTATCAGGTTCGGCTTCACTTTCTCTGTGCTGCGCTGATGAGTCCACAAAGGACGAAACAGTTCTGTCCGCAGATTGAGTTGGTATAGCTGGCAGTACTGTTCTATAGGCTTCTATTTACTGGTGTTTTCCCTCAACACTGTGCAGTGTGCTGATATTGCTCTGTTGTGTCCTGCTCTCTTTCTGGCTGGTGCTCTAAAGGTGCGTGTTGTGGTGGCAGGGGACAGCCTGTGGCAGTCATTGAACTTGATTTTCCAACAATGGTCATCGTCCATCCCAGTTATGCAGGTAATACTGTACTGTACCGGTAGTAAGCAGTTACAGTACACCGGTCAATCTCTATCTCTACCTCCTCCTTGCCAATCTATTCTATATACATGTATGATGGGTGTACTATAAACGTTTCTGCCATTGAGTCCAGCATGTCTATGACACCTAGACTACACGTGTATATGGTAGCATGCACATGCACACACACACGAACACACACACGCACACGCACACACACACGCACGCACACAAACAAACACACAAGTGCTGCCATGAGTTTGCTCACCTGGGGCTATCACTGTCCCCGTCTCTGTATCCAGGCTGCCTGCACCATGCTGCAACGTCTCGTGTTGAACATTGGCGAGGGCATCTTGTTTCGTTTGGACGCCTTGCAGCTACTAGTGGCACAAGTTAGAGACCTTCCTGTGATCGGCTTTGCTCTGGAATTGGTCACGCATGTAAGTTTCATGGCCCTGTGTGCTAGCTGCAATTGTGGCACTGTTATATTTGCATCAGTGTGGTCGCGATGATGTGTTTGTGCTTGCAAATAGGTTCTTTTGAGAGGCAAAGCCTCCCACATGCCAAGGTTACTCAATTTTGTTTGACTGACCGGTTTCATCTTTTACAAGAATCATCAGAGTGAGGAATGGAGTAACGAATAATACAAAGTGTGTGTGTGTGTGTGTGTGTGTGTGTGTGTTCGGCGAGCTGCCTGCCCCCGTCCTCGTCACGGCCCGAAGAAGAGGTGGCGAGATGTGGTGTCGACTGACCTGGCGGACCTCGGCGTGACCACCTGGCTTGAGAGTTGCCAAGATCGTCCCGGCTGGAGACGAGTTGCGAGTAGCACCCCACCGCCACGGCCCGCTCCTGATCCTCTTCTATGTGTCTGTGGACGCCCATTTCGTCGACCAGGAGACCTGAAACGACATGCCA